CCTCGTCTCTGCTTTTCTGCTTCACCAGTGCCCCATTCTCACTGCAGATGGGCTTCCTCTGCAACTCTGTTTCTGTGGCTTCTCTGTGACTTTGAGCCTGTCATGGTACCCACTTTACCCCAACCAGGTAGCAGGAATCTTTTTTCCAAGCTCCCATGAAAAGTTGCTTTAATTTACAAGGACCCATCTGATTGGCCTGCTTGAGTCAGGTGTTTATCCCTGGACCAATCACATGTGACCTGGGTCTGAAGTCACTTGGCACAAACACGGCTGCCTAGATCCATCCCTTTGGTAAGAAGAGCATCTCTGCTTGGAAGGAGGGTGGGCCAGGACGCAGTGGGTAGTGTCTCTGGGTAGGGTAAGTAAAGCACTTGAGTTAAGACACCTGATTTCCAGTCACAGCTCTGCCATTAAGCATATGTGAGACAGAAAGCTTGGAAGTGTGTCCTCTCACTTTTCCCATCTAAAAAATGGGGAAACTAGGCTGGATAATCTCCAAGGTGCCTTCCAGCTTCTACGTTCAAGTCATCTTCTCCCTGAGTGGTGCGTGGTCAGGCCTGGCCTCCGTGCTCAGGAGCTCCTTGGCCTCCAGGAACCCCTCCCACCTCTCCCTCAGATCCTACCCCTCATGTACATTCTCCAAATCCACTCTGGAGGGTCTTCAGAGGTTCTCCCATCCTGCTTGCAGCAGCCGTGAACCAGTCAACAGAGGTGTTCTCTTCCTGAATTCTGATCTACCCGTTTGTCTAAATTCGTGATGAAGAGATCAGCTGTTTACCCTGTTTCTAATCCACCCACACCACTTTAAATAGGCTCATCTCATGCCACCTGTGATGGTACTTTATTACCGCCATAATAATGGCAGTGACCATTTATGAGCATCGCTCAGTATTGCCATGTGCCTGGATCAGTGAGAGGTTTTTTTCCCCACACCTTAGGTCATATAAAAGTTTCTCACTACCCCAGGACATATACGTAGTGTTAACAGCTCCACTTTTACATTTTCCTTTACATAGGGAAACTGAGACCAAAATAATAAATTTAACAGCACATGTCTGAGGTCTCCAACCAACAAGTGAAAAGGCTGGGACTCAAACTTAGGAGGTCTGACTCAGAGCCCACACTCTGAGCACTAAGTGTATACTGCCTGTGGTGTACTTGAAAATCCAGGTGTGCCTGGCCCCATGGAGGAAATCTGCTTGCGTTGAGTATCAACCTGTGAACGTATCTGATGTTTCTGTGAACCAGTAGCTGGGTGCTCCAAGAATCCCCCAGTGTATGTGCTGGTGAGAGTCCCCTTCCCCCCATTTCCCTGATAGAGCATGGCACCCAGGATTGGAAATGCAGGAGGTCAGCATTCTTTCCTCTCCAGTGGCCTGTCCCTTGTAAGTATATGAATGGCTCCTTGTCTGGCCTATTTAAAACCTTTTCTAAGTTATGCAGAAGTTAAATGGGTTTTCACTGCAGGGCATGAAACATAATCCAAGAAGGTCAGACACAGGACCATCCCTTCCTTTCCCCCTTTTCCTGTCTTCTTGGAGCTTGCTCTTAAATCCTCTGATCAGATGCTCAGAGAGCCTTCGCCCCAGACTATGCAGTATGGATGAGTGAAATGTCCTTTCCTCCCCGAGGCATGGGGCTGGAGAGCTGACATTCTCGTGGGAGCCGTCTCTCTCCTCTGGGCACTGGCTCTATGTGGGGTGCGCTCTGAAGTGCTGTCCAGCTGCCTCACTGGGGGCTGGCCGCCCTGAAATCAGAACATGTCTATCCCTCTGTGGCAAGAGCTACAGGCTGCAAAGGCATGCTTTGCTCTGGAGCTTGGGGCTGACACTGGCCCTCCTGCGATGTGTATGTTGGATGTAGAGAGGGGGAGGAGGGAAGAGAGAGAGAAAGCTGTAGGTTAGCTGAGAACCTCATAAAGATCTCCTCCAGACCAGTCTCCTGTGGTTGGCATGTTGGGATGGAGGCTGGTATTGCTGAGCCCAGTGCCTGGGGAGTTCAGTTTCTGGGGCTTTGAATGTGTGACTTGGGGTAGATCCTTTGCAGAATGCCTGTATCTGTCAGGGTCCCCCAGGAAACAGTTCATCTCAGATAGTTCCAATAAAGGCATTTCAGTGAAGAGACAGCTTCCAGAGGGGGTGCAGGGCTAGAGTGACACTCAGGGAGGTTGAGGCTCCAAGGAGTAGCAACGCAGGGAAGTTCTTTCTACTCTAGGACTGGAGGGGCAAGGGGAAGGGCTGGAGCCACTGAAATCTGGGGCTGGAGAAGAGGGGCTGCTGGGGTGGAGCTGGAGGGACTGGGAAAGTAATACCTCAAACCCTTTCTCCTCCTGCCTCCTCCCAAACTCTGAGCTCATACCAGCCCCTCCCACTGGCAGCCTGGGAATGCAGTGCAGAGGCCACCCTGGACTGGGGAGGCGGGCAGGGGTGGGTCATGGCAGAGAAGGGCACTTGGTGGGTCTGGAGACTGCAGACAGGGAATGTCCAGTGCAATATCATTAGTAGTCATGGTGCTTCTTTATGCCTCCCTGCCCTACCCTTGAAGATGTTCTTGTCTGCCACCCTCTAGAAGACATTCAGACAATAAAATCACAACTGCTATCTTCTAAGCACTTAATATACGCCGGGAAGTTTACACTCAGGAGCTCGTGTACTCTTCACATTAACTGTATGAAATATTATTAACTTTGATGCACAGAAAGGGGATTAAGGATCAGAGAGATGAAGTAACTAGCCCAAAGACACACAGTAAGACTTGGGTTCCAACAGAAGTCTGTCCATCCCTGAAATCTAGCACTTGTCCCCTCTGCTCCTTTGTACACTTGAACACTTTCCCTCTTTTGGAGAGAAAGAGAGCATCTGTTTTGCAAGCCACTGAGCTGGGTAGGGCAGACCTCGCAAAGGCAAAGCAGGTTCAGGAACTCAGAAGTGTAAGGGAGTGTGCTGATTTGGAGAAGTACAAATAGCTCTACCTGCCAGGAAATAGTAAACTGATAAGAAAAGATATCGCACATGATCTTAGCCAAAAGGCTAGGATGTGATACCTGCCAGGAAATAAAGAACGAGGAGACAGGACCAGACCATGAGACTTGTGTCCTATGCAGAGGGGCATGGAGCGTCAGGGACAGGATGGAGGAGAGAGGTCTTACCTGTCTGCCCCTGTCTTCAGCATGGGTTGGAAAAGGATAGGATGTAAGCCTGTCCATTCAGGTGGACACTTGCCTGGTGATGGAGGAGGGGAAGCACACTCAGAGAGAAACAATGGCCACTTGGTGGCTTTGTCCTCTGGAGGCCCTTTCCAGCCCAATTAGAGGTCTTACAGTGAACACATGTGCCTCCAGCAGACAGCCCTGGGGAAGGGCTTCCAGTGTGCCTGAGACTGGTCTTCAAAGAGAGAAGCTTCTCAGGTCATGGGCAGCAGCACAGAGATGGGCAGCTGTGTGATGCCTTCCCTGGAAGGAGCCCTGCAGGTGTCAGAAGGTACTCAGTCATCATCCCAGTGTAAAAAGATCACACAGGAATGTTGTCTCAGCCCTCAGGGAACTTTCAGGTCAATCCTACACTCCGGGCTAGAGGGTACCACACTGGCAGGTGACCTCAGCACTGTGTGGAAGACAAGGGAAAAAACTGCCATCAAGGTTTACAGAAATGTTTAGAAAAGAGCTAAGAGATAGGCTTAGAATGAACTATACCTGAATTTAGGGTCTTCTTTGCCACTGCCTAGCTGTGTGACTTGGGTGAGTTACTTAACCTGTCTGAGCCTTGGCTTCCTTTTTGAAAGAGGGATCATAGCAAGCACCTAGAAAGCTACTTGTTACAGAGCTGATGGGTGCAGCTCACAGCACAGTCAGTGAGAGGGAGCAGGGATTGTTTCTTCCTGCCTCTGGGCAGAGCCTCCTTAGGTGGCCTATCTTCTGACATGTCCAGAGCTCACTGAGTCAGGAGTAAATTTACTCACACAGAATTTTGCAGATGTGGCTTACCTGCCAAGCATTGTGGTGGGCACAACCGTGATGAGAGCTGACAGTTGGGCAGAGGATGCAAATAGATACTTAGAATACAATGTGCTAAGATGCTGTCATGGAGATTCGTTCATATCTTCATAAAGGATGCTTACTGGACACCTGCCATGTGGCAGGCACCTGCTGGGCCAGGCAGATAGAGCTCTATGGCTTCTATGGAGCACATGTGCAATGAGAGACAGGTGCTGACTGGGAAATTACAGAGGAACTGTGGGTGATGAAACATTCCAGGGTGCTACGGGACCCTGAATATAATAGTGGCAGGGGTTGGGAACATGGTAGGGGCTGACCTGCCTTAAGGGTTTGGAAGGCTTCCATGAGGAAGTTACATTTAACCAGAAACCCCAAATCAGAAAGGGGCAGGGGTCTATCTATATACACAGTGTGTAGCAAAGGGGATCGTGGAAGGCTCCCAGGAGGTGGTGACATTTGAGCAGGCTTTGTGGGCCTCTCTGGTTACAGGCTGCCATGGCCCAAGGATGTTATGTGGATGCCCCACCCCTCGGCAAGCCAGGAAATCTCTGTGGGCCAGCCCCACCCCAGAATCTATGCCACCTCCCCATATCACACATCTCCCAGCTCCCTGTCCTTGGAACCTCCCAACACACAGTCTCCTGGCTGCCCTCCAGAGCAGCCCGTGCCTGAGGCTTGGGCAGCCAAGGGGCACCTAACAGAGAAAGCAGAACTGCCAAGAAGCAGGGGTTTGGGGACCAAAAGTCCCTCATCCGGAACTTCAGGATAAGCAGATCATCTTTGGAACTGGTGCTATTACAGCCACCAGGAGGCCATCAAAAAATGGAGAAAAAAAATAGATATAGCATTTTAAATTCCTGTGAACCCTTTTAGAATAAAAATGACAAAGCCGCAGGTCTGGTTGGCTGGAGGGATGTGGTTAATGGGCTTTGGGGGAATAGTCACTGATGGAGGCAGCTGCTCCGGGCTCCAGCTCACCCTTTTATTTGCTTTGTTTTACCCCTAGAACACACCGGTGGGGACGCCCATTTTCATTGTGAACGCCACGGACCCTGACCTGGGTGCAGGCGGCAGCGTCCTCTACTCCTTCCAGCCCCCCTCCCAGTTCTTCACCATCGACAGCGCACGCGGCATCGTCACAGTGATCCGGGAGCTGGACTACGAGACCACGCAGGCCTACCAGCTCACCGTCAATGCCACGGTGAGTTCCTGCGCCGGCGGCCCAGGCAGCCAGATGTCAGCCTCCTCCTTCACTCAGAGAGGGCACAGGATGTCAGCCTCCTTCCCTGCTAGGCAAGGCTTATAATGGTGTTGCTGATGAGCATAATAATGATAACAACAGTTGATGTTCCTGAGGGTCCGTGCTATGTCCCTGGTGCTGTGGGGAGCACTCAAATGGATTGTCTCCTTTAAACCTCACAATGCTCTAGCATAAATATTAAGCTACCCATTTTACAGATGAGGAAATTGAGGCACAGGAGCAATTCAGTGACTTGCTCACAGACTCCAGCACCTGCACTGGTAACCCCATGGGTCATGCCTAGTGCAGGATGTCATCTCGCTCTGAAACACAAGACAGAGGTGTCAGCCCAGCTGTGTCCTGACACCACCCAGCATGCAGGAGTCAGAGAGTCTGGGCATCCTGGCCACTGCGCTAGAGCAGTAATACTTACACAGAATGGAACACCCATCTGTGCCAAGCACTATGCTTGGGTCCTGGGAATTCCAAGATGAATTAGTCAGGAGAGGGAAGTTCAAGAGGAATAATTATCCTATTTTATAGCTGACGCCATTGAGACACAAACTGATGAGTGGTGGGCAGCAAGAACCCAAGCCTGGGTTGTCCAATGCCCCATGGTCAGGAGTCTCCAAATTTCCAGAACATCATAGCTGCTTGGCCTGTCACCAGCCGTTGCGGAGGGGCTGGAGGACAGGCAGGCCGTGGCCTCATTAGGGTTCTTTCCTTGTACGCCTCTCTTCCGTGCTCTTGGCCACAGCCTCCAGGCATAGCTAGAGCCTTTAGCTGGCAGCTGGGCGAGAGCTGGCCTGTTGGTCCTTAGACTTCTATTTACAAAGCTTAGGCCAACTGTTAAACAAATCACCTGAGTCCCTCTTGAGCCTCTGGGACTCTTTAGCCTGACCCACAGCATCCACCACCTGGCCCCGTATCACTGCAGGGGGGCTGCCAGTAGCTCTGTGGGCTCTACTTGGCAGATCATGGAGCTCAGATCCCAGGGGAAGACACACTGCATTGGGGCCAGGGGCCAGTTTGAAATATGAGGTACCCCCAGGATTGGACAAGATCCAGAGAGGCCCCCCCAAACCAAGAAATGCAAACTTTTTCTTTCATACCTGGTCCAGGGACCCTGAGGAGGCCACTGCAGATGATTCTCATGTTCTTGCCTTCTCCTCTGGTTAAGTGTTGGTTGCCTGGGAGGACATGTGTGCTGCTATTTGTGAAACTGACTTCTGGGATCAAGGGGACTTGTAAGACCGGAATCCACTTTTGGGGCACATCTGTATCCTTCTGCACACCCTTGCACACTCACTTAAGATGGTGCCCCTCCCACCACTCTCCATTTGCTTACACTGGGGTCTAGAAATGCACAGATGCTTGCTCTCTTTTTCACTGTGAACTTGTCCCTGTGGGATATTTCCCATCTACAGTGAAAATAGCTTCAGGCTGGGCCAGTGGCGAAGAGAGCAGAGCCAGGCATAGGCACAAATCTGGGTGGCCGGGCCTGTCAAGAGGCCTGGGCTCAAGCTGGGATGGTGAATGTGCTTAAATTGCCATTAATCTTCCAGCGATCAGGCCTTGAAGCAGTGGAACAGGAGGGGCCCTAGATCTAACTCCCTTAGGTCTTGGTGGTTCCTCCACCTGATGCACAAGTCCCTCTCAGGGCTGGCACTGTGCCCTTGGCCGCTGGGCATCTCCCCAAGGAGATTCTCCCATGTGGCATTGCAGGGAGCATGTAGGTCCCCAGCCTCTGCTGGGTGGGTGGTGGGTGGGAAAACATGCAACTCCCCTGGGAACAAGTTGCTGAGACCTGTAGGCACCAGAGTGACAGCTGGAAACCTGGCCAGGTGCCTGCCTGCCAGATGTGCCCACTGCCATCCCCTTTCCCCAGCCATGGGGTCCAGGGTGGGCTCTATGGGGGCATCTGTGACAGAGGCAGGGCTGCAGCCACAGGTGTGGGACAGGAGGGGCAGGTGCCAGACTGGACAAAGCCAGCTGCCCACAGGAGCCTGGTAAGAGCAAATCATAACCAATGGCATCTCCAGCGCCAGAGGTCAAGGGCCTTCCTGATGGGCCTCCCGCTCTGGCCCTGTCTGCCTGATGCCTGTGCCGGTCCCTAGATGAGAGCTCTCACCACTCTCTAGGGTGGTCCCTGAGCCTGGGCTGTGGGCCCCATCATCTTGGAGGCTGGGAGGCTATCTCCACTGTGGTTTGGAGGGACACAGCTCCTCCTGCCTCCAGGCTCTCCCCTCCCTTGCTGCAGCCATGACCCATCCTCAAAGCCTCTCTTCCATCTCCCTGGCTGCCCCCGAGGCCTCTTTAGGACAACCAGCTCTTTCTTCTCCTTGAAGGCTCAGCATCTGTCTCTGGAGGGCAGGAGCAGGCACTGGGCTTGTAATGGGGGGACTGCATTACAATTGCATCATTCACATCATCCCAGACAGACCAAGGGAGATCTAACCCAAGGAGAGCCACTTCTCCAGTCCAGAGCAGAGAATTTACTCTTACAGAAGAGGAAGTCGAGACTCCAAAAGAGGAGATAACTTATTTAAGGTGACTTAGCAAGTCAGCAACTGGGCTGAGGTTAGGGCCTCAGATCAAGACAGATCAAGTCAAAATGACTTGAGTTGAGTCCTGGCTACACACTTATCAGCTGTGTGACTCAGGGCAAGTTACTTAACCTCTCTGAGTCTGTTGAACTGAAATAACTGAAAATACAAAAGGGAATGAAGTGTCTAGTACAGTGCCTGGTATATAATCTATTTAGCATGTAGTTTCTATTCTTCTTGGCTATTGTTATTCAGTAGCAGCAACTATTTCACATTTAGGGTAATAGAAGATGGGTTTTGGCTTTTCTTTCTTGGTGAGCTTTTATAGGACTACATTTCCAACTATGAGGGTTTAAACATTGTCTGCTTGGCCACATGGCCTGCACGGCCTCTCAAGATTCCTTCCCAGAGTCCCCCAAATGTCACAGGCCCTGGAGCTCCCCCTACTGGTTCTACCAGCAAAGTTGCTTGACCAGTCAACCCAGTGTGCAGGGCAGGGATGCAGGGCCCAGACTAGCCCCCTCTGCATCAAAGGGCTTTTCTTCTGAAACTCTCCCATCCTAGTCAATTCCTTTGCTGTCCCTGGAAGAGAGGGTGCAGTAAGTAGGCATGGAGGGAGCAGTGGCCCCCGGGCTGAATTCAAAGAAGGAGCTAAGGGCAGCACCATTCCTTTATCCCAAGCCAGTCACCCCACCCCCCAGAGGTCACACTGGTCAAGCCTGGGGGTGGGGGGCAAGGGGCAGAGATGTGGCTCTGCCCCAGGCCTGCTTTGTGACCAGGATACGCCACCTCCCACTGGGCCTCTGGGGGCACAGGTCAGAGATCCCTGAGGGTTCTTAGAGTTTCTGAGCTCTGCGTGCTAATGTCCTTCCCTGTGGGAGTGGAGGAGTACACGTGTACATATGTGCACACGTTTGTGCACACGAGTGTTGTGCATGTGTATCCATGTTTGTCCTTGTCCATATCACTTAACCTAAGCTGATGTATTCTTTGTCCTTCTAAGGATCAAGATAAGACCAGGCCTCTGTCTACCCTGGCCAACTTGGCTATCATCATCACAGACGTCCAGGACATGGACCCCATCTTCATCAACCTGCCTTACAGTACCAATATCTACGAGCATTCTCCTCCGGTAAGACCCTCCCCTGCCCTTGTGAGACTTCCCTCTGCACTTTCGGTGGGCATGGAGGCCCTGTTTGGTAGGATGGGCTCTTTGGTGTTTCTGACTCCCACATTCCTGGCAGTGATGGGTGTCCCAGCGCAGTGAAAACCCAACCCCCTCTGTACCCCACCTCCTCGCTGTCTCACTTCATCCCTAGAACTCTCCAAGGGCCAGAAAGCAGAGATTGGCTAGTGCAAGTGAAGGGCAGCAGTTCAGAAAGCTTCATGTGGGGTGATAGGGAATGGGGATGCCCGTGGAAAATCCAGCCTGAGCTGGAGAGTGAATCTGGACTCAGCCAGGCTCACCAAAACATCAGTGGGGCTCAGCCACACCCGCCACGGGTCAGCTAGTCAATCCGCCTCTCTTGGCCAGCCAACACTGCCCGAGATGGTGGCCACTTACTATCTGCCCCTCGGACTCTCTCAGGCTTGGTTCCTCCCTGAGAATTCACAGCCCCTGCTGCCCCTTCTAACTGCCCAGACTTTGGGTTTCTCAAGGCCATGTGTTCAAGAGAGGTACCTGATTGGCTGTGGTCGGATTTTGTGCCGTGTCACAAGATAACAGGTTGCCAGCCAGCCTGGAGATTGACTGCCCATGGGCCCTGTGTCCACTGTGGTCCAGTCGACTGTGAGACAAAGCATACAGCTGCCCCTAGGCAGGGGCTCTGGGTAGGCAGCTTTGCTCGGCTGTGGGTCAAGCAGGCAGTGCCCTGCATCCCATTTCCGGTAGTCATCCATGCTTATGTGTGGACTGGAGTAGAATACCCGCTCTGGGCTGATAAATTAGAAAAGGCATCTCCTCGAGGCAGACACAACCCCTGAACATGCAGGGGAGCAGCTCTATGGAAAGAGAACTGTGCCTCTTGTTCTATAGGAACTCAGTGTGCTTAGGGGAAAGAAACAGCTTTGAGAGCAAAGCAGGGTGCCCACCTGATCATGTGGCTATTCAGGACTCCACCTGCATGTCTGCACAGCTCACAGGTTTGGGTGCAAGTGAGAGGTAGGTTTCCCTGACCAGATTGCAGGCTGGGCTCCTGGACCACCACAGACTAGGAAGCCTGACCCCAAGTTTGGTAATGTAGTCTCTCCTGACTGTTGGCCTCTTCCAAGCACCACGCTGCAGACTCCAGATGTGAGAGTGTAGCCACTTCCTTTTTGGGGCCCCTTGCAGCCTGGAGGGTCTGACGAGCAAGGTGGCCTCCTGTTGCTGGTGTCAGCAGCTGCTTTGAGAGCAGAGGGGGACATCTAAATGTCCCCACTCCAACCCTTTCTTTCTGAGTGGCCCGTGGACAGCAGGAGTTTAGACTTCTGAGACTGAACTCCACCTCCCCCAAAACCTCTTTGCCAATAAACCCACATGTTCTCAGCCCTGACCTTTTAGATGAGGTGGGTCCTCCCATCTGTCCTCAGCCTCTGGCCATCCTTTCTTAGTGCTCAGTGCTCCTGCATGGTGCTCTCACCCTTGGCTTCTCTCCTGGCCTGCAAGAATAGTGCAGCGGGAATGGGGTCTGGTGTGGGCATAGCACACCGTGGGTGCTCAGGAGGTCATTGTGGAATGAATGAATGCATGAATAAATGAATGAACAAATGCTCACTACTCGGGCCAGCTCTCTTACTATCCTGTCATCCTCATCACACCTTGTGATTGCTCTACCCACCAATCCAAAATCCACCCATCTGTTGGTTCCCAACTCACTGACGGCCTTTCTTGGAATTCTTTTCCTGGCTTCATCCTCTCTGGCCCACCAGGAAGAGCCATCTTTCTCTCCTCATCTCTGCTGGAGTTCCCTGTCCTTTGGCTGCATGATCCCCTCTGAATTGTAGCCACACCTGTAATATTCACTGATGTGTAAGTGGGTTACTTTGGGGCCCCTGGTCATCAGAGTGGTTGAGTCTTTGGGTCTCAAATCAGGGCCTCCCAGGGCTTTGTGCCCAGGGTCGAATGCAGGAAATACAGGCAGAGCTAACTTGTAGATTGAAGTGAGGATGTGATGGTGGCTCAGCAGCTGGAGGGTCTCAGAACAGGTCCCTGTACTACCAAGAGCTTGCTTGGCCAGATCACACAACATCCAGACCTCTTCCTCCTTGTCTCAATAGTGGTTGAGACCACTTGGCCTGATGGTTTTAGGGACTAGGGCACCTAGTAGTGCTAGCGTCAGCAGATATTAGAATGCGGTGGTTTTGTGTTTGGATTGGGTTGGGAGGTCCTAGCGTTAGCCTCATCTCAGAGTCTCAGTGGTCAGCAAGAAGGGTGTTGGGGAGAGTGTGCTCTGAGACCCTTCAGTTTGTCTCGCCTTTCCCAGCATCCCTGTATTGTAGCAGAGTAATACTAAATCAAACTATTACTACAGGTGTTTTTTTCAGATCTGCAGGTTTCCGAGTCCGCCTGGCCGTTCATTCTATTTTTCATTCATTCGCTCATCCTCTAGATGTTTGTGAAGGCCCCGCGGTGTGCAGGGTCCTGTGCTAAGCCAGCCCCTCTCCTTCCCAGATGACAAGCCCTGCTAGGATGACTCCTCAGGACAGACAAACAGGCCCTTGTTCCCCTTGGCCTCAGCCCTCCTTACGCTCGGCTTCTTGGCGTCTGATATGGTTCTTTCTCAGGATGAGGGACCTTGATATCTCTTTGCCTTGTCACGGTTATCCCTTTGGCTCCACAAGGCCACTAAGTCCACGTCTGGGGGGCTCCCAAAGAGCAGCTGAATCCCGCCTTTTGTGTGGTGACCAGGCTCGGCCAAGCCAGCCAAGGAAGTAAATTGGGGGGTTCGGTCTCTCAGCACCCACAGAATCACCTCCACATCCACACACCTCTGCTCTTCCTCCCTGCCTCCAGATCTGAAAGTTTACCTCGTCTCTTGCAGTTTCCCATACACCCTAAGCCTGATTTTTCCAGGCGTCTAATCGGTTTCCGTGCCTTGATCCAGGCCTTCCATGTCCCTTTAGAGTGTGGAAGCCTGATTTAATGCAGCACTTCCCAGGCTGGGCCAGGGCTGAGGAGCACCAAGGCCTGATTAGTCCCCCAAGGCCAGAGGCCCCAGGCATCCCCAATCCCCAGCCCTGCCTCTGCTGGCCCGGGGGCCTGCGTCCAGACCCTCGCCCACTCCCCCTCACACCCCCTCTTTATCTGCGGCTCCCAGCATGTATGCCTCCCTCTATCAGTGTATCAGGCCAGCATGCCTCATCTAAAGTGTATATATTACCTAATAAAATCCTTCTTATTTGGGATTATTGCATCAAATTTTAATTTCCTCACTCGAGCAGCAGCATGTCGGCCTGCCCGTCAGTGAAGGACCGATAGAAGGTGAAAAGAGCGGATAAACTGCACAAATTACTGCCAGCCGATGCCTATCAGCCCTTTGACTGGAATTGACTGGAATTAAGAACTGAGAAATAGGATTTTCTGCCTCAGAATCTGCTGTGGCAGCTCTTGTCGGAAGTCCCCTTCAGCCCCCTCCGGTCTCCTCCCCACCAAGGGCGCCTCCCACTCCCAAAGCAAACTGCACGTTGGCCTTTCAAGTCCTTAATCCTGTCATGGAAAGGGGGAGGGGCTGGGCCAGCAGAGAAAGAAGTGGACAGCCCCCACCACCAAGGCTCCAGCTTCAGCCAGTCTCCTGGCCAGCTTCTTTGGAAAGGGGCAGCCACAGAAGGGAGGGTCGTGTTCCTTCTAGAGGAATCCCAGCTCCTCTTGACTCTGTCCCGACTTCACTGCTGGTTCCCAAGCCTCAGAGACTGGGGCTGCCTGGCAACCCACCCCCACTCACCAGAGCTTGGGACTCTAAGCAAATCCCTGAACCCTTGAGCCACAATCTCTCCACGTGTACCCTCACTATGAGGACAAAACAGAGGACCCATGCGGGGGCCCAGCACAGTGCTTGGTGCCCAGTAGGTCCTCAGCTAATGCTAGGTCTCCCTGTGAGAGCCTAGCTGTTCTGTCTAAGGAATGGCCAGAAAACTCCTTACCTCCAGCGTAAGGTTATTAACCTGGGTCCTGGGAAGTCTGCATTTGCTGAAACTGTTTGGAACATCACATTGTGTGCATTGTCTGGGAAGAGGTGTCTTAGCTTTCATCAGAAGCACATGGAGGTTCCAGGCCCCAGAGAATAGTGACAGTCACTTTTATAGCTTTTTCTGTGCCCCCAGTGCTGTTCCAAGCGCTCCATGTATCACTTGCTGAGGTGTGGGTGAATGTTTTATACCCATTTCATACATTGGGAAAACCAGGCAATGAAAGGTTAAGTAGCTCAATCAAAGGGTCCACACCCTGGCAGTCTAATCAGAGTCAGACCCTTACCCCCCTTGCTGTACTGATCTTCCCACAATACGGAGTTGGAACCCCACAGGCCCGTGTGCCTTTAGCCTCTCTGTGGGAAGGCGGGGCCTCCTCTTTGCAGTGGGGGGTTCTTATGAAGGGAAGAAGCCCCATAGCCAGGTGGGCCCATCTCTAGCCTTTGGGGCCATCTGTTCTCCTGGTCATACTCTGGTGCTCCTTGAACTGGGTTCCCTCTCTAGAGAGCCAGCCAGTCAGAGTGCCCCCCTGTAGAGGGGCCCAGGCTCAGGGCGGGCATTTCTCCATCTCCTCATCTTAGGAAGTAAGTTTCAGTATATTGAAAATATAATCACTGAAACTCTGAAACAAGAGCTGTGGGCTCCCAGGAGCCCCCATTCCTCCCTGTTAATTCCTTCTCATAACATTTCCCGTCTTTGTGGCTGCACTTGTATTAAAAGCTCAGGGTTTTATTAAAAATGGATTTATTTATCCAAAAAGAGATGAAACCCAAACTTGTCAGGAGCCTTTCAGAGCTCATGTCGTAGACACTCAGGCGTGGCTCTTCCGGCCTCCCTGCTCTCTGGTCCTGGCTCGCTGCTGGACCCACTGAGCCCCCGCCCACCCAGGGGGACTCCAGGCCACCCAGCTTGGGGCTGCCGACGGGGAGATGCTCACAAGGCCCTGAAAACTGAGGGCTCCCTGGCCACCAGCTCCCCTATCTGCACAGGCCAGCACTGGCCCCCTTCCAGTGCTGCTGAGGCTCACTGCCCTGGACCCAACCAGCCACAGCAGGCCCTGGTTGTTCGCCTGTGGGTGTGCAGCTGTCCCCTCAAGGTTCACTATTTGCTTGTTTGTTATTATGTGATTTTTGGCTGCATAGAGTGGCATGCAGGGTCTTGGTTCCCTGACCAGGGGTTGAACCCACACCCCCTGCAGTGAAAACATGGAGTCTTAACAGCTGGACCACCAGGGAAGACCAAGGCTTATTGTTGAATGACTATCTGGAATGGTGCTTTGGTAGGCACTGGGACCAGTCGACCTGACAGTCCAAGCCCTGCCCTCAGCAGGCCCAGTGCAGCCAGAGAACCCACATGCTGCAGCACTCAGCATGGGTGTGAAGCCATGGACTGTGGTCAGATGGGCTGGAGCTCATCTGACACATCACAGCTTTCTGGCAGCTGAAACCTCAGGCCAGAGTCCCATGCTCTCAGGACCTCCTCCTGGGGACATATCCAGGAGGTTTAAGAGGTGACACCAGGAAAAGCCTACCCCCGAAAGGATCCCCCTAGAGTGACAGGGGAGCCCTTTGTGTAGACCCTTCAGATGTAATGCGGTGCTTCCCAAATGACCTTCCACAGACTGCTAGGTCCAGGGCTATCAAGATGTTACATGAAAAGAGCCTGTCTGCAGCTCAGAAAGCCTGGGAGAGCAAAGGTTGACGGATCTCTTTATCACTTTGCTACTTCTGGGAGCCTTTACCACATCAAAGCAGGTTGTGCATCTCCAACGGAGGGATGGGGAGGGTATATGTTTCCCCATGTTTGACATGAATTAATACTTATATTAATTCTTGTGGCACATAGCCAAAACTTTCATAAATTACAGTTATCATTATTATATTTTTCATATAACCTGTTACAGAGGCAGCATTGTCTGGTGGGCAAGAGCATTTTTTGGAGCTAAAGTACCTGAACTCGAATCCTGGCTTTCCATTCACTCCTTGCGGTGGGACCTTGTAAAGGCCACTTACCTCATGGCCCTCAGTTTCCTCACCTATAGAATGGAGCTGTCTCCCGGGGTAGTTGTGAGGGTGAAATGAGTTAAGGCATAAGAAGTGCACGTAGCGGCGCCAGGCACAGAGCCAGTGCTGGAGAAGGGCCCCTGCTGCGTAGGTGCTTCACACGCTCTGATACAGCCCAGGTCCTCAGAATCCACTTCAGGAGATACACCTTTAATGGCATCTTTCTCTGTCTTTGTAACAGTCTGTTCCCTGCCCTCCCCCCAACCCCCACGAGGGGAATCTAGACAGAGCTCCTGTGGAGGGGTGGGGTTGAGGGGTAAGGTATGAAAGGAAGGAGTCAGGCCTGCTCTCTACACAGCCTCAGCCTCTGTGTTGAGACCATTTCTCTGCAGTAGACCTTTTCTCTGCAACATTCTCACCTTCCTTCAGCCAAGCCTGGGGGTGTTCCGGATTGCCGCATACCTGGGCTCAGGAGAGGCCAGAGCAACAGCTGTATGCGGGTAGCACTGCCCTGGGAGGGTGAAGTGGCAGATGCCCCTCCTGTGTCCTGGCAGCGAAACCAGGAGTCAGGGGTGCACCATGCCCCCCCCCCCCCAGGGCACTCCCTCCAGGGCAGAGTCCTGCATGTCAGGAACCAGCCCCTCTCCATAGGAGAAGGTGCTCAGATGGGGGTAGAGTCTGCAGCCAGGAGGCTTCAGTCTCTAGCTTATGAATGGCCAATGCTTGAGAGGTGCCAAGGCTATTAGAGACCTTCATCAGACATGCAAATGCCAGGGTTGGTATCTCCCTAGGTGCTGGGTACAGGGCTGTCCTACTTTCCCTCCATCAGCCGTGGGACCTGCAGCCTGGGCCAGAAGCTGGGCAGACAGGCTGGTGTGATAGGCCCTGCAGAGCAGAGTGAAGCTTTCCCCAGGCGAGGGGCAACTCAGCAAGTGGTGGTGGTGAAGTTAGGATCCAGCTGTTCATATGTTCATTTATTCAATGAATTAACTAACTAGTTGGTATCTGTGCAGGCTAAGTCACACAAATTAGTCCTGTCTAACTCTTTGTGATCCTGTAAACTGTAGTCTGCCAGGCTCCTCTGTCCAAGGGTTTCTCCAGGCAAGAATGCTGGAGTGGGTTGCCATGCCCTCCTCCAGAGGATCTTCCCTACCCAGGGATCGAACCTGCGACTCTTATGTCTCCTGCATTGGCAGGTGGTTTCTATACCACTAGCACCACGTGGGAAGCCCATTGGTATTTGAATGTGTTCATTATATGCTAGCATCTCTTCCTAGAGAGTCTTATACCTCCACAGCCCTGCCAGGGCTGTGTCTTTTGCCTGAAGCACGTTCCTTTTTGTTTTCTCTCTCTGGCAAGCTATTCACTCCTCATTCTTGCGTGTGTGCTTAGTCACTCAGTCGTGTCGAACTCTTTGCGACCCCATGGACTACAGCCCACCAGGCTCCTCTGTCCTTGGGGCATCTCCAGGCAAGAATACTGGAGTGGGTTGCCATTCCTTCCTTCAGGGGATTTTCCCAACCCAGTGGTCGAACCCAGGTCTCCTGCACCGCAGGCAGATACTTTACTATCTGAGCCACCAGGGAAGCCCAAGAATCCTGGAGTGGGCAGCCTAGCCCTTCTCCAGGGGTTCCTCCTGACCCAGGAATTGAGCTGGGGTCTCCTGCATTGCAGGCAGATTCTTTACCAGCTGAGCTACCAGGGAAGCCCAAGAATCCTGGAGTGGGCAGCCTAGCCCTTCTCCAGGGGTTCCTCCTGACCCAGGAATTGAGCTGGGGTCTCCTGCATTGCAGGCAGATTCTTTACCAGCTGAGCTACCAGGGAAGCCCCACTCCTCATGACCCATCCTAAGTGTCGCCGTTTGTGCAGCTCTTTCCTTCTGGTGGACATCTATACTTTGGGGTACATTGATGCCTCCAGGAAACCCTGTATCTGTATAGCAGTGCCTGCCCATATGTCCTTGATCTCTTACCACAGATTGTGTGCTCCTCAAAATCAGGGGCCCCTGAATCCCATCGTGGGTATTCCAATCCTGGGCCCTTCTCCCCAGGTGCTGTAGGGAGAATGAATGGGGTGGGAGACGGAGCCATGGGAGGTAGGAGCTGCCGGTTGCAGTGCTGGATGGGGTATGATTCAGAGGACCGTGGTGGCCACCACAGTTGTCCTGGTAATCCCTAAAAATATCCACTTTCAGGATTTATGATGCTTTCATTCACAGAATAATTCATCCTTGATGTTCTTTACTCAGGTCCTAGTGAAAACAACATCCCAGGATTTTGTGTTATTCATTTTAAGATGGGGCAGACTGAGACCAGAGGAGTGCAGCAGACTTCTGAGGTCACACAGCGACTTGATGTGTTCAAGATAGAGACCAGATCTTTTGTCCTCCTGCTGCTTGCTCCTCTATCAGTTCTTCCCTGGGTGATTCATCTGAATGAAGGGAGATGGGGAGCAGAAGAGGGAGTGAGAGTATCAGCAAGGTTGGGCCTCTCCAGTGGACACTGAGGTGTTTGCCTGGGGCCTCAGTGTATATCCCAGAAATGATAGGGGCAGCTAAGGTCCCTGTACTCGACCCCTACTTCCTAGACTGACCTGGGGTCCCCAGGGGGAGGGAAGCTGTGGGTGTCAGGACAGCTACAAGAAGAACAGCACCCTGGGGCCTGACCTACCAAACTCAAGTCCTTTTTCTCTCCCACCCAGGGCACGACAGTGCGAATTATCACTGCCATTGACCAGGATAAAGGACGTCCCCGGGGAATTGGCTACACTATCGTCTCAGGTAAGGCCTGGGGTACCCTAGTGCCCCACCCCTACTCAGGAGGAACCACTCTAGGAGTGTCAGGCTCTGTGGGTGTGTGGGACAGTGGCATGAGGGGACCTGTCCCCAGGGACAATCCAGGCCAAAGGACTCAGGAAGGAACTGCCTAGATGAAGGAGGAAGGAGCAGGGGAGCAGAGGAGTTTGAGACGGGGGCCGGGGGGGGGGGGTGGGTGCGGTGGCGCTTGGGTGATAGTAGGGACAGGAGTGTGCATCACTCTCCGAGATCTCAGGCATCTGTGCACTTTGGGGCTCTGAGCCCAGGTTATTGGTGACTGTTGTCTAACCTGTCAGTACACTGGGTTTTTGTTTGTCGTTACTTGGTGAAAAGATGGCAGTTTTTACATCGTTTTAGAACTAATTCAGCTGCAACTTTGACTGATTTCATGCTCTCTTCACATTTCTGACCATTAGACAGTCACGTTTATCTGGAATGTTGCAGGGAGGCACGTAAGCCCTCCTTTCCCACCTAGGCTCTTGGTTGAGCAGAGCAGTGACTGAGTGCAGAGAAAGTTCTGGTTGGTGGGACCCCTGACTCCATATCCCTGCCTAGAGACTGACAAAGTAGCAGCTCCTTGGCCGTCGTGGGTCTGGGTGGCTTTGGAGCAAGGGGGCTGGTGAGAGGTGCAGGAAAAACTGCTCACTCATACACAGACTCTGGATCAATCTGTCCCTGTTCTCCCACCCCACCCTGGCCTCCCTGGCCAGCCTGCTGGGTGAGTAAAAGGTGAGCCTGATGCATCTGCGGGGAGGTGAGGGGCTGTTTGAAGGCCAAAAGGATCTCAGGCCACTAGACCAGTGTCCACCCCATTGCCCCTCCCTACCACACTGCCAAGAGAGTAGACTTGGCATTTAGGGGCATTTTCTCCCTAAAGCTCAAGACACCAATGTGTAGTGATCAAGAACATGCATGGAGTCTCTTGAGCATACTATCTAGGGGTGGATCTCCATACCTGTTTCTCATCCATAATATGGGAGCAGTAAGAATGCCTACCTCAGGTGTTTCAAAAATCAGAAGGCTTATTGTATGTAAAGTCTTTAATAGATGTATGTGAGGCATTGATACTTTGTAAGTGTTAACTGTTATTAATGTGCATGTGTGCATGCTTAGTTGCTCAGCCATGTCTGACTCATGGTGATCCCATGGACTCCCACCCTCCAGGCTCTGCTGTCCATGGGATTCTCCAAGCAAGAATGCTGGAGTGGGTAGCCATTCCCTTCTCTTGGGGATCTTCCTGACCCAGGGATCAAACCCAAGTCTCCTGCCTTACAGGCAGATGCTTTACCATCTGAGCCACCAGGGTCATCTAATAACACCTTCAGGGTGCTGAAGGTTAGGTGGTGGGAGGGAGACCAGTCACATCCTTGGGAATGCAGGAAATCAGGGGTATTGTGGGCTCTCTGTGACCTGCAGCTTCTAGCACAACTGTTAACTGTGCTTCTAAGCCCACGGGACCCTAAGACCCAGGGTGAATGTCAGAGCAGCTCATGTGGTGAGCGGCAGCAACAGCAGTGTGGGTTTGGGCCTGTGCTTCCCCCACCCCTCTTCCTCCCCATTCTCATGCCCAGCACAGGGCTCCACAAGAGTAAAGTCCAGTTTGTACTTGTAGAGTGGATGAATGGATGGATGGATAAATGAATTAATGTATGTTACTCTATGGTAATGGGTTTTCAAATTCCATTTTGCCCAAGTATCACCTGGGAGCTCCTATCAAAAACACAGAGTCCTTGGCATCCATGAGGGTTCTCATCCTGTAGGAGTAGGGTGCAGCTCAGGAAAGGTCCTTTCTCCTTGAGCCCCAGAAGCAGCTGGTCCTCAGACCAGGGTATGGGAAAGGAGGTCCTAGCGAGGTCCACACTGGTGCTGGCCTCCTTCATGAGTTTGTCAAATTGGGAAGCAAAACAAGTGCCTTGCGGTAACAAGGGGCTTGCGCTGGAGATCTGAGTGAACACCAGTGAGCCCCAAGGCTGATGAAGTTGGGAACCTAGTATAAGCTGGCAGCAAGAAGGGGGCACCTGGCTGGTTTGGGGATTGTCTCCTCATCTCATTTTCTCTGGGCTGGCTCTAGACATACTCTCAGACAGGAGTGGGGAGCAGAGAGTCATGGACAGTGAGAAATTCCTCTCTGATACCAGATGGCCATCCTCCAAGGCATTAGTCTATTTGCAGTCTGCGCTCGGTGCCAAGGCACCAGCCCCAGAACCTCAGGCCCTCTATAACAGAAATGGCCCCAGCCACCCCTTTCCCCTGGAGCAGGAGGCTGGAAGGCAGAGCTGCTGAGGCTTTGGTATCTGAGTGGTGCTCTGGAGCTTACAGTCTGGGGACAACTGCCTGCAGCAGCATCACATGAAATGGCAACATCCTATGAAATTTCTAGGGACACGCTTTCTTGGGCCAGGTGCAAAAAACAGGATAGGAAGGGAAACCCAGGATATGAAAGTAGAGGTGGGGATGCATGTGAAGGCGGGTGCAGGAGGCAGAAATTTCTGGAAAACCTCTAGCACTTAGCATAGCTTTATAGGATTCCCAGAACAGATGTGCCTTGAGGGCTTTTAGAAAGGATGACACACGGGTTTTCTCTTACCTGCCAGCTTTGATTGATTGGTAATGGCTGCCTGAAGGGGTCCAGGAAGCCGAACAGGTTCAGTGTGGTCTTCAACTGGTAGAGTCTGCTGTGGGTGTGGAAATGGAGGGGCAGCACTGGGGCAGCTGTCTGCCGTCCTTGGTGGGGTAGCACTTGGACCACGTTCGCAGGGTGGCCATGACGGTCCTCACTGTAATGGGTATTTGTCACCAGCAACCCCACCTGGATCCTTTTCAGACACTTTGAGGAAAGGGCAGTCCTCTTTCTTCCCTTCCTATCCTGAGCACCTGGTTTCCCTCCCTGCCCTTCTCCCCAGGCGTGGGCTGGCATGGACCCCTGCAACCTCAGCCCAAGTCTAGGCAGGCAGACAGGCAACAGGGCACACTGCCCAGGGGAGTGTGATTTGACCTCTTCTACTTCCCTCAGCTGGTCAGTGTAGACATTAGTCCTAAGAACATTGTCTGCTGAGGGTCTAGCCTCTCATGCCTTCCTCCCCAGTGGTGTTAAGGCCTGGGTGGCTTGACCAGTGCCTGTTTGGCTTGAAACGCAAGAAGGGATGCCTTGCCAGTGTCCCTTCACGCTGACTGCCCCACACTGACCCTGAGTGCCTGGTGGGAGCCTGCCCCAGCTCAGGTGCTCTGGAATCATTTTCATTTGAAAGAAAGGACTGAGGGCCTCAGGGGCTCCCAGAGCCAGGTGCAAGTCCTGCAGGCACTGTGGGCTAGCCAGTCTCTGGGCACCTTAGGAGCCTGGGCAGGTGGTCTGTCTCAGACACAGGCCTGAGCCCACAGTGACGCATGGCACACGGTTAACCCGCCCAGCTCCCTGAGGCCCCGTACCCTCCAGGCTGTTTATCAGCCCTGCAGCTGGGGGGATTTATGTCCACACACCAGTGCTTTCCCCATTCCTAATGACCCCTCTGTTTTGCCAAGAACAAAGAGGCCTTCAGAGGTAAGTTATGGCTCCTTTGCCATCAATTTGTTCTCAGCCTCTTGTGGCCAAACTACGACCGAAGAATGACAAGGCTGTTTCCCATAGAGGACCTGGCATGGGCCCCATGCTCCCTCAGCCTGTGCCTGCCCTGCCACTCACCAAGGGCATCACTTCCTCCAGGGTCTGACCTCCAGAGCTCTGCGGGTCCTGTCCCCAGTGGTCAGCCTCACCTGAGGTCTGAGCAGACACCCTCCCCCGCCAGATGGACATAGTCCTGCTTCAAGGGGTGGCTGCACCCCTGCCCAGCAGAGCACTGGACTAGGAGTCCAGAATTGTCAGTTTGAGGCCCAGCAGTGCCACCTACAGCAAGGCATTTGGCCCTCTTAGCCCCATATCCCCATCTGTGGAACAGAGATGGCAACTCCCATGGCAGATAAGACAATGCCAGAGAGACCCCAAAGGACCATAGAATATTAAACATTATTAGTTGTTGAAGAAAGTTCAGGACCAGGGGTTCTTGGGACCCTTACTCATTTCCTCCTTCATTCATGTAAGTATAGAGAAGTAAGTGGTTGAGCGTGCAGGCTTTAGGGCCATATTCAGGGTGGTGACCACTAGCTGAGCTGGTCAGTACAGTTGCCTTGAAATGTACAGAGCTTTTGAAATGCAGCTGGTCTGATTTGAGATGTGCTAAAAACACACAGGGTTTTGAAGACATAGTATGAAAAATAGATTATAGAATATCTCAATAATGCCTTACATAGATGACATGTTGAAATGGTATATTCAATATGCTGGGTTAAAGATAGCATATTATTTAAAGTAATTTTACCTATTTTTTCTTTTAATGTGGCTACTAGAGAATTTCAAATAGCAGGTGTGCGTTGCGTTCTGTTTCTGTGGGCAGCTCTATTGCAGAGGTAGACCGCCTTAACTTGCCTTCCACTACCTGTGTAACCGTCTGGGCGTCAGTTCTCCACTCTATGAAGTGGGGGTAGTTATAACCCAGGTCTCACAGGGATGCTATGGCGTGTACACACTTAGCGGAGCGCCTAAATGTGTAATCAGTGCTCAACACACAGGGACTTGAATATCCACCTACAGTGGACTGAGGGTCTTCTCTGTCCTAAAGTCCTGAGAGCTGGTGAGGCCCGAGTTGCCATCTCAGCCACAGGAACCTGCAGGCAGTCTGGGGACAGGCTGAATTGAAGCACCCTGGTGAAATGCTGTGGAGACAGGTATGGGCTGTGCTGATCGTTGTTGATGTAGAGCAGTGGCTCCCAGTGGGGTTGACTAGACTGTTCTTTCTACTCTTGTATATATTCAAAAATACCCGTCATAAGAAGTGAGCAAGAATCCATGGGAGGGGGTACCTCCCAGCCATCACCAGGAGGGGAAGCTTACCAAGGAGAGATCTTCTAAGGCAGCCCTGACAGATGAGCAG